AAGCAGATATACCTTATTCAAGGTGGTCCTCTGATGGCTCCCAGCCAATCAGGCAACAGGTAGAAGCCTGGCAAAGCAACGGGCTACATTTCCCTGGAGAAAGGCTACACCAGGCACTCAAGGTCAGACAGCATAAGGTACAGAGATAATAAAAGCAGAGAAGCCTCAGCAGCAACAAAAGTAGACATTCCAAAGTCACACACCCACACCATTCTCATGGCAGCAAGGACGTCGTAGAGGCCTAGCTGACACAGAAAGTAGGAGTTTAAAGGGACTCAGGCCATTATGCATCTAGAATTTTCTCCATTGTTTTATCAAACCCACACGGGAACAGAAAAAGATGTGGCTCAAAACCGCATTCAAATACCCTGGGGGGGCCAACACCATACTGACTGCAGAGTCAACCCTGAACAGCCATAAACAGCCATAATTCTATGCAGACAGTTACCATAAAACCGAGAGTTAAAAGGAAGTGAAAGCGGCCTGCAATCTGGACGCTGCCATAGAATCCGACAATCCATCAAAGTGAAAGTGGCGTGCATTGTAGAGGGGAATTTCTGTTCCAGCGTGGGTTTGGTAAAACAGTGGAGCAAATGCTAGATGCAGAATGGGCCTCAGTGTAAAGGGATTCTGCTCTATCCACAAACCGCCATGAACTGCTTTAAAAGTTTGTGGGAGTTCATGATGGTAGAGCCGTCACAAAATTCGTGATGAATTTTGCTTCGTGGTTCGGTTTGTGCCCATCCCTACTCTGCCGTTGTTTGTCTACAAGGCTCTCTCTAGCCCATCCACTTTCATGTCGTGGAATGTTCACAACACTCTAACTTCTGAGGGAGACATTTCCTTTCTGGAATGGAGACAGTGGAATAGGTGAGATGGGTGTGGGAATGCTGCATGAGTTCCCCACACAGAAAAGACAGTCCACCATTCTTCCTTACCACAAGGGTCGTCCACACAGAGGAGAAGTTTTCAGCAGCACACTGAAAATCGCGACAAGTGCTCAGCATCGGTTATTTCAATCCCAACATGTAATTTCAGCCAGGCCCAGAAATCCAGCTCAGGATGTGAAGCTTGGATTAGCTGCAATGTTTGGCTTTCCTGATGGTGAGAAGGTTCTCCTGAGCATGTTAAGAGGGATCTTCTGAATCAGCAGAGCCATCTCCTATAAGGTCAGCAAGGCAAGGCCATCTAACAGGAGCAGAAGAGCCCTTCTGGAGTGGACCAAAGGCCCAACAAGTCCAGCATTCTGTTCACACAGAGGCCGATCAGCTGCCTCCAGAAATCCCACAAGCAGCAACACTGCAACAGCACCCTCATGACCCCCTGTGCTCCCCCTGCGCAAGGGACACAAGGAGGCACATTGGCCTCTGCTGCTGGAGGGAGGAGAAGAGGAAGAGGAAGAAGAGGAAGAGGAAAAAGAAGAGGAAGAAGAAGAAGAGGAAGAGGAGGAGGAGGAAGAGGAAGAAGAAGAGGAAGAAGAAGAGGAGGAGGAGGAGATTGGATTTATACCCTGCCCTTCACTCAGAGTCCCAGAGTGGCTTCCAGTCCCCTTCCCCTCCCCACAACAGACACCCTGTGATGAGGCAGAGAACAGCTCTGAGAGAATTGTGGCTTGCCCAAGGTCACCCAGCAGCTGCATGTGGAGGAGGAGTGGGGAATCAAACCCGATTCTCCCAGATTAGAGTCCGCGCACTTAACCACGACACCAAACCCGGTACTCCAGACTGGAGTCCACGCTCCTAAACCACTCAACCAAACTGTCTCTCTCCATCTCCATCATAACCTGTAGCCACTTGACAGCCCCCCTCCTCCCTGAATGTGTCCATTTCCCTTTTAAAATCCTCCGAGTTGGCAGCCGTCACCACATCCTGTGGTGGTGAGTTCCACAGATTAACTAGTCACCCTCCGCAAGGCAGTGACGTTCTCTCCCACTCTGGCTTCCCTTCCTATGGCTGTGGCAAGTTCCTTTTCGGAGGCAGCCCTGTGCCCAGGGCCACTGTCTGGCGGAGGTCCCAAGGTCTGGCCAGAGGCCTCTGACCGCCCTGCGCCTTCCTTCCTTCCTCAGTGGGGGCCGGCTACTGTCCCACGCCCTGGTCCGCCACGGAGGAGCCCTGCCTGGTGACCTGCCCGGACGACACCTGGTGTGGCCCGGGGGAGAAGTGCTGTCTCAATGGCTGCCACGTCTGCTGCGTCGTGGCTGAGCCAGGTACACGTGTTCACGGGGATGGCAACGATTGACAACTCCAGGCTGGGAAGTTCCTGGAGATTTGGGGGGTGGATTCTGGGGGTGGGCATGGCTGGTGGGGGGGGGGGGGGGAGCTCAGCGGGGTGCGATGAGGTCGCGCCCACCCTCCAAAGCAGCCATTTTCTCCGGAGGAACTGGCCACTGTAGTTCGGAGACTGGCCATCATTGCGAGAGAGCTCCAGGCCACACAATATTACAAAACTAATCACTGAGGAAAACAGTGCTTCTATAAACATCGCAATGAACTTTAGAATAATAGAATCATAGAGCTGGAAGGGATCTCCAGGGTCATCTAGTCCAACCCCCCTGCACAAGGAAGAAATTCACAAATACCTTTCCCCCCCACACACACACACACAGTGACCGCTGTTCCACGCCCAGAAGATGACAAAAAACCTCCAGGTTCCCCAGCCAAACTGGCCTGGAGAAAAATGGCTTCCTGACCCCAGAGGGGTGATTGGCATTTCCCTGGGCGTGTCAGAAAGGGCCACGAGAACTAAGCCCTGAGGCAACCCTTCCTGCCCTCCCCCTCATGATCTGCCTAAATTAGCAGAATCAGCATTGCTGTCAGATGGCCATCCAGCCTCTGTTTCAAAACCTCCCAAGAAGGAGAGCCCACCACCACCTCCCGAGGAAGCCTGTCCCACTGAGGAACCACTCTAACTGTCAGGAAGTCCTTTCTAATGTTTAGCCAAAAACTCTTCTGATTTAATTTCAACTCCTTGGTTGTGGTCCGACTTTCCGGGGCAACCTAAAACTCCGCACCCTCCTCTACATGACAGCCCTTCAAGTACTTGAAGATGGTGATCCTATCCCCTCTCAGTCGTCTCCTCTCCAGGCTAAACAGACCCAGCTCAAACACACACGAAACTGCCTTCTACTCAATCAGACCCATTGGTCCATCAAGGTCAGTATTGTCTACTCAGACTGGCAGTGGCTCTCCAAGGTCTCAGGCGGAGGTCTTCCTCATCACCTACTGCCTGATCCCTTTAACTGGAGATGCCGGGGATTGAACCTGGGACCTTCTGCATGCCAGGCAGAGGCTCTACCACTGAGCCACAGCCCCTCTCTACAGCTCTCCAGGGTCTCAGGCGGAGGTCTTTCCCATCACCTACTGCCAGGTCCTTTTAGCTGGAGATGCCGGGGATTGAACCTGGGACCTCCTGCATGCCAAGCAGAGGCTCTGCCACTGAGTCACGGCCCCTCCCCATACATTATTAATTCAGGGTAAGTGAATCAACAAAGTAATCAGCAAGCTCCTTCCGCCTTCCCTCCTAGGACTTGGTCTCCAGACCCCTCACCATCTTCGTTGCCCTCCTCTGGACACATTCCAGCTTGTCTATATCCTTCTTAAACTGTGGTGCCCAAAACTGAACGCAATACTCTAGGTAAGGTCTAACCAGAGCAGAGTAAAGCGGTACCATCTCTTTGCATGATCTGGACACTGTGGACACTACAATATAATATATTCATTTGTGTCTTGCCTTTTTCCATTTTCTTTTATGCATATGTTCTTTGAAATCTTACTAACGGTTAGAGATCCACAGGCATCAGGCTTGTAGGAATTTCATGACATTGCAAGGGGTGAGCAACATGCTGGGTTCTGTTGACAATGACAGAGGATGTCTCACTTAGTTAAGTGATATGTTTATAACTTTGGTTTTTTCCTCTTCTTTTTTGACATTATGCACTTCCTCTAAGGAGCTGCGGTGGCTCAAGTGGTTAAGACGCTGAACTGCAGGCTGTGGAAGGTCAGTAGTTCAGCAGTTCAAGACCCGAGTTGCCGCATGACGGAGTGAGCTTCCATCTCTAGTTGCAGCTCCTGCCAACCTAGCAGTTCGAAAGCAAGAAATTGCAAATAGATAAATAGGTACCACTTCGGTGGGAAGGTAACAGCGTTCCGTGCGACTTGGTGTTTAGTCATGCCGGCCACATGACCACGGAAACGTCTTCGGACAGCACTGGCTCTTCGGCTTTGAAATGGAGATGAGCACCGCAACCCTAGAGTCGGACTCGACTGGCTTTCGAGCAAGGGAACCTTTACCTTTACCTTACTTCCTCTAATAGTATGGTTAAGACAAGATTTGTGTCACAATATGATGTATGGGCATTAATGCAGGGTAAGTGTATTACAACAAGGCAATCTGCAAGCTGGCCCTGGTGGGAATTAATAGATTGTGACCCCAATCTTGTTATTTGTAGCCTTGGAAATTATGTTTGGTTGTTGATGAAGACATCTGAAATGCGCTATACCAGAGGCACATCCGACAGCACCAATTGGACTCTTTTTGATTGCACTCATTGGACTTTTATTGATCGAGTGCTTCACCTGTTGAGCAATTTGAGACTATTGGCATATGTGTTCTTTATCATTCTTAATGTATGACAACCAAGTCAGTGAAGTTATTATATGAGTGTTGTTACATCTGTACTTTGTATAATATGAGGACGGTGATCTCTAGCCTCCAGTAAGATTTCAAAGGACATGTGTATAAAAGAAAAAAGAAAAACGCAAGACGCAAATGAGCACCTTAGATTAAAGTTCGTAGGGATATTTTTAGTAGCACTGTTTTCCTCGGTGACTTGCTTTGCAATATTGTGCTCCCTTGTTTGTTTGTTTTACGTATTCCACACCTGGGGGGTTGGCATCAATGTTCCCTCTAAGCTGTGGAGTCTTGTGAGCAAAAACTCTACTTTGTGAGATACTGGCATTAAAGTTGTGAGCAAGCAATTTGGCTACTGCATAAATTAGTTTGCTCTGGAGCCATCTTTCCTGAGCAGAGCCAAAAATGTGTGCACCGGAGGCTAAAAAACTGTGAGCTAGCTCACATTCACTCAGTTTAGAGGGAACCCTGGTTGGCATCACTAGCCTGGCTGGCGACTCTCTGGCCTCCTTGACTGCGGAAGGATCATGAGGACCAAGAGTTCACCTGTGCAGAGCAGACACAAGGCTCACGAAATGGGATTGTGGACCAGGAAACCCCGGCTATAAGCAAGGCTTGGGAGGGTGAGCCGCACCCCATCAAAAGGCTCGGGGAAGGCAGTGGGAGGGGGCCTCCGCTGAATACTTTCTTGCTGCTTCCTGCCCCAGAGAAGCCTGGCGTCTGCCCACGGGAGAGGGTGTCGCTCACCGGCCTCCCCTGCACCAATCAGTGTCTGGACGACAGGAGCTGCCCGGGGAACAAGAAGTGCTGCTTCAGCGGCTGCGGCCTGGAGTGCGTGAGCCCCCCCACAGGTACCGCCGCTGCCTCTTGGCATCTCTTGGGTCTCAGCGAGGGAGGGGGGGCACAGGGTGTCCTTCTTTCTGCAAAGGCCAAGGTTGCCAACTCCAAGTTGAGAAATTCCTGGAGATTTGGGGGACGAGTGTGTGGAGGGCAGGGTTTGTGGGCATCCGCAGAGTGTCCTGGTGTGGGGAGGAGAGAGACTAGGGTTGCCAGGCCTCCCGGTGGAGGTGGGGGTCTCCCGCTGCCAAGTCCCACCTCCCTGCTGCCGATCAGCTGGGGAACCTGCCCTGAACAAGAGAGACAACCAATGTTCCCTCTAAGCTGTGGCGTCTTGTGAGCAAAAACTCTACTTGGTGAGCTCCTGGTGTGAAAGTTGTGAGCGAGCGATTTGGCTACTGCATAAGTTAGTTTGCTCTGGAGCCACATCCTTCCTGAGCGGAGACAAAAATGTGTGAGCTGGAGGCTAAAAAACCGTGAGCTGGCTCACACTAAGTCAGCTTAGAGGGAACATTGGAGAAAAGCCAAATTTACCATAGAGTTTTTGCCCAAGTACCAGAGCGTTGCCCCTGACATCCTGGATGTGATAACAGCACTTCTGGGTCATGTGGGCAACAACGTGGACACATTGCTGTACATTGGCTGGGCTGCTCCCCACAAGTCCCCCCCACAAGTCCCCCAGGAGGGACCTCAGCAAGGTATCATGCCCTACGGTCCATCTTCCAAAGCAGCCATTTTCTCCTGGGGAACTGACCTCTCTCGTCTGGAGACCAGTGGTCATTCCAGGAGACCTCCAGCCACAACCTGGAGGTTGGCAACCCTAGCATAGAAGGCGTGCCCACTCTACTAGAGGGCTCTGTCCACTAGGTGACCGCAACCTTCTGACGTTCATACTGTTAAAAGAGGCAAAGACTCCACCTGTGCCCACCACCACACAGAACTAAGCACCACCACCCCATCCCACCGCCTGACAGACCGAACAGCCACACCCTGTCGGGAAAGAGGGAGCTCGTGGCCAGGCCTCATCTTGCCTCCTGGGGAGACGTGGTCCTTGCGACGCAGATTCCCGTTCTTCTCCCTTGCCGGCCACGGGTGCCTCAAAGAAGCCCAGACTGAGAGCCAGTTTGGTGTCGTGGTTAAGTGCGCAGACTCTAATTTGGGAGAAGTGGGTTTGATTCCCCACTCCGCCACATGCAGCTGCTGGTGTGACTTTGGGTCAGTCACAAGTTCTCTTAGAGCCCCACCTACCTCACAGGGTGTCTGTTGTGGGGAGGGGAAGGGAAAGGAGTTGTAAACCACTCTGAGACTCCAAGTGAAGGGCAGGATATAAATCCAATCTCCTCCTTCTCTTCTTCCTCCTCCTCCTCCTCTTCCTCATCAGTGGTAATTCCAGAACTCTAGGCCCCCCTGGTGATGGCTAATCCTGCGTGGGAAGGGAGAGGAGGGCATTCGCTCCTTTTCCATGGAGGCCCGATGGGCAGCCTGCTGACTGAGCCTTTGGTAAAGGTGCAGGAGATGAAGTAGGGGAGGGCGGCAACCCTCCAGCCGTGTGAGGCCTTTTGCAAAGTCTGCCCAGATGTGTAGCAATGTGAAGTCCTGTCCGTCTCCACGGGAAGAGTGGGCCACCTCATCTGTGGCATTTCAGGGGATATTTTGTGAGTGCAGAGAGACCCTTGGGAGTGTCGGCAGGGGGCGCAGCACCCTCACGCCCTGCCTTGCCTGTGTATTTCAGAGCAGCCCACGGCATGCCTTCCGGACAGCTCGGGACCCGCGGACAACCTGGACTCCAAAGCACAGCGGTGCAGCAGAGGGGAGGGCTGCAGCCAGGAGGACCCTGCCAAGCCCAGCCTGGGTGAGTTTCCCTGCTCAGGCACGAGACTTCTGTTCATGGGTAGACGGGTGTCGGGAGAAAAGTGTGGCTGCACGTGTCTGTGAATGCATCTACCCATGCCACCCACACTCCCCCTCTGGTTCGTGTGTCCCCTGAGTGTTGCCTCCTTACCAAAGGCAGAGGTATAAGCTTGGAAACCACTAAGCTCTGGCAGAGACACTCAAGCAAGGGTTTCTTCCAATAAAACTTATCTTTATTAAAAGGAAAAACATTCAAAGGTTTACCTGGCAAGGTGACCAGCAAGACGCTATGCCAGCTTGCCAACACAGTAGACTCCTATTTCTTAAATACTGATAGTGAATACACAGAAAAATAAACATGCAAGCAAAGTTCTATCCCACCCAAAGCATGCAGAAAACGAAAGGCCGTCCGGGCTGACCCCCAAAGTCTCTGGAGAGTAAAAACCTCTCCTGATCCTTCAAGAGCCAGCGAGGGTCTGTTGAGACTGACCAGTATTTATACCAAATGATCAAAGAGGTCCCCCAATAATTAAATTACAGTTGTAAATTAACATTTTGAAGTTTTACAGGAGATTGCTTCCTTGCGTCTCACACAACAAAAGTTACATTTTTGTTTACAAGATCAGTACAGTGTCATTGTTTTTTCTGGCGTTCCCACAATGAGGGATAAACTGTTCTTTGATGTTATATCTGAGATGGAAGTGGGGAGTGTGAATCTCTGTATCTCAGGCGTTAGTTTGCCTTCCAGATTGAAGTCTGACACTCCCCAAATGGCCTTTCCTGTTAGATACATTTTATTGCCTAGGAAATTGTGGGTCTCACACCTGTGGAAATTTACATTGATTCAGATCCTGGGAATGGAATGTGTGAACTTTTGTGTGCGTGACCGAGAAAGAGATTTGCTTGGAACAAAGGGCTTGCAAAGAATCATGGTTTGGTTCAATGAAGCAGGCCAAGCCTGTGTTCTGTTTTGTTAGCAAAGACAGAGACAGATACATGGATTTTATAAACTATTTGGTTCATTTTTAAACCTAAACCTTCTATATTTCTAAAATTTCTTACCACAACTGGCAAGGGACGAAACTTCCTTGCCAACCTCCCAGAAGTGCCAGCTTTCCTCCACATGCAGCTGCTGGTGTGACCTTGGGTCAGTCACAAGTTTTCTCAGGGCTGTTCTCTCAAGGGCAGTTCTCGGGAGAGCTCTCTCAGCCCCGCCTAACCTCACTGGGTTTCTGTTGTGGGGAGGGGAAGGGAAAGGAGTTTGTAAGCCACTCTGAGACTCCTTTGAGTAGTGAAGGGCAGGGTATGAATCCAATCTCTTCTTCTTCTTCTCTCCTCCAACACCACATTTCAAATGAATCAGCTCTCTTCCTGTCAGCTTGCTTCAGCTTTCATGCCCAGATATAGTGATGGGGCATACGATGGATTTGGGTCACCAGCAATGCTTAGAGATCTTCTCTGGCTCCTTCATGGCCGCCCTTCCCAGTCTCCGTCTCCTTCTGATTCCTTGGCTGCAGTCTACATTCTGGTTGACGATGGAGCCAAAGGAATAGTAAATCTTTAACAGTTTTGATTGTTGCTACGCAATGTTTTATGTAGCATTTTGGTGTTGTGGTTAAGTGAATAGGCTCTAATCTGGGAGCACCGGGTTTGATTCCCCACTCCTCCACTTGCACCTGGCTGGATGACCTTGGGCAAGCCATAGTTCTGACAAGAGCTGTCCTTGGAAAAGAGCAGTTTCTGTCAAGAGCTCTCTCAGCCCCACCTGCCTCCCAGGGTGTCTGTTGTGGGGAGGGGAAGGGAAAGGAGTCTGTAAGCCGCTCTGAGACTATGAGTGAAGGGCAGGGTACAAATCCAATCTCTTCTCTTCTCTCTTTTCTATTTTCAACTCTCCCCCTTAGTATAATTTTATATGCTAACAAAATTACAAATGATGAAATTTTATTTATTTATTATTAGATTTCTACCCTGCTCTCCCCTCAAATGGGCTCAGAGCGGCTCACAAAAAGGGCACCATGTGCCAATATAAACAGTAAAACACCTAAAATACTTTAAAAACAACCATTATCAACATAAAGGGCTCAACAATGTTATTAAAGCATTCAGTCAAAGCAAGATGGTAGCCTGTAGATGAAGCTCCGAGCCCGATTATCAAAGCGATAAAATCAAAGCAATAAAATATGTCTAAGCTTGATAGGAAAGTAGGCGCTGGATATATTTCGATTCTCCCGCCCACCAACGTGTTGCATCTATGTGATTTCCTTTTTTACACAGATAAACACAGTCCTGCGTAATTCATATTAGCGTGCGTGAACTAATACCAGCATTACCAGTCTGTGGGCCAGTGAATCAGGACAAGAATCCCAGGAATTGCTAACCTGCCTCTAAGAAAGAGAGGGAGGGAGACGGGGTGGGGTGGGGTTGCCAGCTCCAGGTTGGGCGATCCCTGGATATTTTGGGGGCGGAGCCTGAGAAGGCTGGGGATTGGTGAGGGAAGTATAATGCCACAGAGTTTACCTTCCAAAGTGGCTATTTTCTCCAGGTGAACTGACCTCGATCACTCGGTCACCAGTTGCAATCCCAGGAGATTTTCAGCCGCCACCTGGAGTTCAGTCAAGTCAAGGACGAGAGATCACGGGAGGGACTGAACTTTGTAAGGAAAAACAACCGTGATATGATAGCAAAACCTTGCTAGAGAAAAATATGTCTTCTTTAATTATCCAGTGAATAACGGATCATAAAGGTGTTTTCATAAGTAGAGGGAGTAGGAAAAAATACAAAAGGGTGCGTTGTTTGAGGTTTCCCCCCCTTTTAAAAACAAAAGGATTCTGATCTCTGTTTACGGTGCATTCAGACTATGAGTGGAGGGAAAAAATGCGTATTTTTGTATATTTTCTAGTGTCAGGTCTCTTCTGATGAAACCTTGAGTGAAACGGTCCGTTGAGCTCTGTACCATCAGCAGGGCTTTTTTTGTAGAAAAAGCTGAGCAGGAAGGCATTAGCATAATAGGCCACACCCAACAGCAGAAACTCATTAGCATATTAGGCCACAGCCCTGACAGCACAGCTCATTGGCACATTAGGCCACACCCCCATGTTACCAGAAGTGTGGTTATCCAGCCACACTCACCTTTTGTTTCTTATTCTGTTGACCTTGTTTGTTGTCAAAACCCAGGGCCTTTTTTTGTAGCAGGAACTCCTTTGCTTCTTAGGCCACACACCCCTAATGTAGCCAATCCTAATGAGTTCCTGCTGTTGGGTGTGGCCTGTTATGCTAATGAGGTCCTGCTGGGCGTGGCCAACTCGGGAGCCAGCCGGAACTCCGTTCCTGTGTGTTCCTGTCCAAAAATAGCCCTGGTCTTATCAGAGGAGACTGCCTTTAATAGATAAATCATGAAGAACTCTGACATAAATGGTTTGAATAGGCAAAGTCCTTTTAAAAGTTGTTCAGATTCTCTAATAACCCTGACCATCAGAAAGAAAAACCTAAGACCAATCTGCTTCAAAGAAAACACCTTTATGATCTGTTATTTACTGGATAATTAAAGAAGATACCTTTCTCTCTAACAAGGTTTCGTCATCATATCATGGATGTTTTTCCTTACAAAGACCACCTGGAGTTTGGCAACCCTGCTGGGGGTGATTGTGTCGCTGGGGACCCAGCTGGCGTCATATGGCTTGGAGAGGAGTCGAGGCTGGCCTCCCTACATCCCACCGGGTTCTGTCTCTTCTGTTGATTCCCTGGGGCCGGTCCCATCAACGTCTGTCAACCTGAGTTTTGTGTGTTGCAGTGAAACCCGGAGCCTGCCCGGTCATGCTGAGGGGCTCCCTGGGCCCCTGCACCGAGACGACCTTGGAGAACTGCAGCAATGACTCTGACTGCGAGGAAGCAAAGAAATGCTGCTGGACGGGCTGCCGACATGCCTGCGCGGTGCCGGACGAAGGTCAGGCTTCCCTGAGCATTGCACAACTATCTTCCCTCCCAGCGAGCTCTCCTGTCCCACAAAAAGCATCGTGGTGTCCTAGAGACGGACGTTTATTCTGACATTATCTTGTTTATTCATTTAGATATTTATACTCCTTCCCGCCGCCGCCCCCCCCCAAAAAAAATTGGCTTATAAACCAACGTTCCCTCTAAGTTGTGGAGGCCTGTGAGCACAAATTCTACTTGTGAGCTCCTGGCAATAAAGTTGTGAGCAAGCGATTTGGCCGCTGCATAAATTAGTTTGCTCTGGAGCCCTCATAAGAACATAAGAGATGCCAATGTTGGATCAGGCCAAAGGCCCATCCAGTCCAACACTCTGTATCACACAGTGGCCAGAAATACCAGTGCCATCAGGAGGTCCACCAGTGGGACCAGGACATTAGAAGCCCTCCCACTGTTGACCCCCCCCAAGCACCAAGAATACGGAGCATCACTTGCCCCAGAGCCCCTATCTATACCTTGTGGCTAATAGCCACTGATGGACCTCTGCTCCATATGCTTATCTAGTTCCCTTTTGAAGCCTCCCATGCTTGTAGCCACCACCACTTCCTGTGGCAGTGAATTCCAAGTGTTAATTACTCTTTGGGTGAAGAAGTACTTCCTCTTATCCGTTCTAACCCGACCGCTCAGCAATTTCATGGAGTGCCCACGAGTTCTTGTATTGTGAGAAAGGGAGAAAAGTACCTCTTTCTCTACCTGCTCTTTCCCATGCATAATCTGATAAACCTCAATCATGTCACCCCTCAGTCGTCGTTTCTCCAAGCTAAAGAGCCCTAAGCGCCTTAACCTTTCCTCATAGGGAAAGTGTTCCAACCCTTTTATCATTCGAGTTGCCCTTTTCTGCACTTTTTCCAAAGCTATAATATCCTTTTTAAGGTGTGGTGCCCAGAACTGCACACAGTATTCCAAATGAGGTCTCACCATTGATTTATATAGGGGCATTATTATATTGGCTGATCTGTTTTCAATACCCTTCCTAATAATCCCCAGCATAGCATTGGCCTTCTTTATTGCAGTCACACACTGTCTCGACATTTTCAGTGAGTTATCTACTACAACTCCAAGATCTCTCTCTTGATCAGTCTCTGCCAGTTCAGACCCCATCAACGTGTATTTATATTTAGGATTTTTGGCTCCAATGTGCATCACCTTGCACTTGGCCACATTGAACCCCATTTGCCATGTTGACGCCCACTCGCCCAACTTTGACAGATCCCTTTGGAGTGCCTCACAATCCTCACTGGTTTTCACCACCTTGAACAACTTTGTATCATCCGCAAATTTAGCCACTTCACTGCTTACTCCCAACTCCAAATCATTAATGAACAAGTTAAAAAGCAGTGGACCAAGTACTGATCCCTGTGGTACCCCACTGCTTACCCCCCTCCACTGGGAGAACTGCCCATTTATACTCACTCTCTGTTTTCTATTAATTAGCCAGTTTTTGATCCATAAAAGGACTTGTCCTTTTATCCCATGATTTTTGAGCTTGCTTAGGAGCCTTTGATGAGGAACTTTATCAAAAGCTTTCTGGAAGTCAAGGTAAATAATATCTATTGGATCCCCCTTGTCCACATGTTTGTTCACCCCCTCAAAGAACATTAACAGGTTAGTGAGACAAGATCTTCCCTTACAGAAACCGTGCTGAGTCTGCCTCAATAGGTTTTGTTCATCTATGTGCCTACTAATTCTTTCCTTAATAATGGTTTCCACCAATTTACCCGGTATCGACATCAGACTGACTGGCCTGCAATTTCCCGGATCTCCTCTGGAACCCTTTTTAAAGATGGGAGTGACATTAGCTACCTTCCAGTCCTCAGGAATGGAGGCAGATTTTAAGGAGAGATTACATATTTTTGTCAGGAGACCCACAAGTTCACATTTGAGTTCTTTCAGAACTCTCGGATGTATGCCCTCTGGGCCTGGTGATTTTTCAGTTTTTAAGTTGTCTATCAGTTGTAGGACCTCCTCTCTCGTCACCTCAATCTGACTCAGGTCTTTCAACCTGTAAGATGAGAATTACTCAATGCACGCACAAAGAAAAACAGAAAAGACACCTTTAGACCTTTATCTGCTATTCGGACATATTTATTCCTTTACAGCTGCTGACCTTATAACCTTAGCCTGTTAGTTTTGCTTTGCATATCTTAACGTGTCATCATGTTACATGTTAGTTTCCCTATCTATAAGTTTGAACCTGACACACCATTCCAATGTATTTGAAAAAAGTGTCCTCTGCACACGAAAGCGCATACCTTGCATAAACCTTTGTTGGTCTTACAGGTGCCATGGGACTCTAAGTTCGTTCTACAGCGTGCATGTTGTACATGGATTGTACTTGCATTTGCTATAATTTATGGATTGGGCAAGAGCCCCCTGGGAGGCAGGAAAACCCTCCCTTTTTTTATTCTCGTCAGATTTCCGTCCATTTATTCCACCTCATTCACCTGCTCGTTCTCACACACTCTCCCTCCCCACCTTTTGCCCCAGTGCACCCTGGGACCTGCCCACCCAGAGCAGCAGAGAGCAGCACTTCCGAATGTGACACCTTCTGCTTCCGGGACGACGATTGCCCCGAGAGCCAGAAGTGCTGCTGGCTGAGCTGTGGACGTGCCTGCACGGCTCCATCTCCAGGTAAGGGTCAAGCAACAGGGAGACAGGATCGGCAGGAGACCAGGTGGGATGAGCCAGGGGCAGCAGTCTGGCCTCTGAGCGGGCAAGCAGGGCCGGCTCACTCACTAGGTGAACTAGGCGATTGCCTAGAGCGGGCTGGTCCTTAGGGGCGCCAAACTGCACCCGGCCCCGTACTCTGGGAGTTTCTTGATTATTTGTGTTTTTCATTCTTCCTAAAATGCATTTATTTTTTGGAAAATGGTGGGCACACGGGGGGGGGGTGCCAGAAGGGATCCTCGCCTAGGGTGCAAAATAAGCTGGGGCCGGCCCTGCGGGCAGGTCCCCCAACTCGGGGCTTCAGGATTCCTTTCACTGGTTAGGTGGGATCCCCAGAGAGAACCCAAAAAGCCCCCAGCATTAATGCACATTGGGGGGAAAACATTCCCACTTCAAGTCTAGGCTACTGGGGTCTGAACTTGCTGAGCCTGAGAGGCAAAAAGATCTGGGGGTCGTAGTGGAGCGCTCCATGAACGTGTCAACCCAGAGTGTGCTGCAGCGGCGAAAAGGGCAAACTCTGTGTTAGGGATGATTAGGAAAGGGATTGAGAATAAAACGGCCAGTATTGTAATGCCCCTGTACAGATCTATGGTGCGGCCTTGTTTGGAATATTATGTCCATTTCTGGTCACCGTATCATAAAAAGGACATTGCAGAGCTGGAAAAGGTACAGAGGAGGGCAACCAAGATGATTCAGGAGTTGAAGCACCTTCCCTAGGGGAAAAGGCTGGAGAGTCTAGTGTGGAAAAGAGATGAGTAAGGGGGTGGGATATGACAGGGGTTTATTAAATTATGCAGAGGGCGGAGAGAGTCAAAATAGAGAAATTTTTCTCCCTTTCCCCAAATACTAGAACTTGACGGCATCCAGTGAAGCTGACGGGCAGTAGATTTGGAACAGACAAAAGAGAATACTACTTTACACTTGAGTGAATAAAATGTGGAATTTGCTGCCAGAGGATGTGGCGATGACCACAGGAATAAGCAACTTTAAAGGGGGATTGGGCAGATTCATGGAGGATAAGTCTATCAATGGCTACTAGCCCTGGTGACTGTGGGGAAACTTGTCAGCTAAGCTGCCATGCCTTGTCAGCTAAGCTGCTTCTTGTTGTTCAGTCGCACAGTCGAGTCCGACTCTTCACGACCCCATGGACCAGGTCACGCCAGGCCAGGTGAGCTACTGGCAATAAATTTGTGAGCAAGTGATTTGGCTGCTGCATAACTTAGTTTGCTCTGGAGCCCCATCCTTCCTGAGCGAAGACAAAAATGTGTGAGCCAGAGGTTAAAAACCTGTGAGCTAGCTCACACAAACTCAGCTTAGAGGGAACACTGCCCACCACCACCCCATCCCCACCATATAGACATCCTATCACAGCTGTGGAAGCCGCTGCATGTGCACAATGGGGAATCATCTCCATGCGGAAGCAGCCTGTGTTCGACCTCCCGGCTTGCCCTTCCTGTCCCCAGTGTTCTGGATCTGCTACCCACAGTCCCACCTTTGACATCATTAGGTATCAATTGGATGCCTGCTTGATGGGGGTGTTGCAGTGGTAGGTCCTGCACGGGCAGCAGGTTGCACTAGATACTCCTGTGTTCCCTCCCAACTCTGAGATTAAATAAATAGATTAGATAAATAAATAAAGTCACTATTGCTCTTCTTGAGAGCCAGTTTGGTGTCATGGTTAAGTGCGTGGACTCTAATCTTCGAGAACCGAGTTCGATTCCCCACTCCTCCTCCACTTGCACATGGCTGGATGACCTTGGGCAAGCCGTAGTTCGGACAAGAGCTGTTCTTGGAAAAGAGCCATTTCTGTCAAGAGCTCTCTCAGCCCCACCCACCTCACAGGGCGTCTGTGGTGGGGAGGGGGAGGGAAAGGAGTTTGTCAGCCACTCTGAGACTCCCTTGGGTAGTGAAGGGCCATGGGGTATACATCCAATCTCTTCTCTGCCACTCTAATCTGGGAGAACCGGGTTTGATTCCCCACTCCTCCACTTGCACCTGGCTGGATGACCTTAGGCAAGCCACAGTTCTGATAAGAGCTGTTCTTGGAATAGAGCCGTTTCTGTCAAGAGCTCTCTCAGCCCCACCTACCTCCCAGGGTGTCTGTTGTGGGGAGGGGAAGGGAAAGGAGTTTGTGAGCCGCTCTGAGACACCTTTGGGTAGTGAAGGGCCATGGGGTATAAATCCAACCTCTTCTTCTTCTTGACTGGTGAGTGTAGTGTTGTGGTAAGAAATATTGAAAGATGGAAGTGTTTTGGGTTTAAAATGAATCAAATAAGTTTATGAAATCCATATACAATATCTGGCTCTGCCCTGGCTAGAAAAAGAAAAAAAAAACAGGCTTGACCTTTTCTTTCACTGAAGATGTACTCAACATTACATTCCCAGGCCCAGGGGCGTGTGAGACTTTACAATAAACAGCTGGCTTGGAAAGTGACAGAACCCCAATAAAGATGTGTGGCCATTTGGACACCTGGCAAGATAAGACTAGCTTCCTGAGAGACAGAGAGTTCACACACATACCCCGCTTTCATCTCTCTAAACATCAAAGCACAGTTTATTTCCCTGATTGGGGAACACCTGGATGACACTGTATTGATCCCTTTGAAATGTGAACTTTTATTGTGTGAGACCAAGGAAACAAAATTTTCCTGTAATACAATCTCATCTTCTAGGAAGCAATTTTTAGATAGGCAATTTCCACTTCCATGCTAATTAACACCTGATATGATCATCAAAAAGAACTCCTTTGATGTTGGGTTTAAATACTGGTCAGAGCCCACAGATTTTTAGCTGAATCCGAAAGGATTCAGTTAGAGAGAGCCTCTCGACGCGCTTGCATGGGGTGGGAAAAACTTTGTTTTGCATGTTTATTTCTGTGTGTATTCTATTAATGTTTAGGAAACTAGGGACTCTGAATGTTTTTCTATAATAAAGATAAGTTTTATTTTAAGAAGAGACTAGTGAATTCCAAGCTTGCACATCTGCCTTTGGTACGGGGCGACACTCAGGAGACACACACGAACTGAGGGGGGAGTGTGGGTGACAGGGTTAAACACACACCCACACATCCAAAAATTCTTACAACAAGTGTCACATTACTTTTGTGCACATGATTGCAGTTCAGTGTCAGTCAGATATGAGGATGCTTCCCATCAGTTGCAAGATTGCTTTGAGAGGACAAACTGGGATATTTTTGATCATCAAGACCTGGAGGAACACACAGTGGCAGTCCTGGGTTATATTAAACACTGCATGGGCAGTGCTGCTGTGGAGAGGTGCATACGGGTCTGTCCTAATCAAAAACCCTGGATGACGAGAGAGGTACAGCGACTTTTGAGGGAGAGGAATATGGCCTTTAGGTCTGGAGACATGAACCTTTATAGCTCTGCCAGAGCCAACCTGAAAAGAGGCATCCGACAGGCTAAGCTGGGCTATAGGCAGAGGATTGAGGATAGATTCAATACGAATGACATGCAGCAGGTGTGGCAGGGGATTCAGAATATTACCAATTATAAACCAACCTTTGCTGCCGTGGATGGAGACTCTTCATTGGCGGAGGAGCTTAATCTCTTCTTTGCCCATTTTGATGTGGAGCCGAAGGGGACAGCCATACTACAGCCACCTGTCCATGGCGGCCCCTCCCTCAGGGTAGAAGAGCATGAGGTGAGGCGTACGCTGAGGGCTGTAAATCCGAGGAAAGCGGCTGGACCTGATGGCATTACGGGATGGGTGTTGAAAGAGTGTGCTGACCAGTTGGCAGGGGTCTTTACTAAGATCTTCAACCGGTCCTTACACCAGTCTATTGTTCCGTCTTGCCTAAAGTCCTCAATTATTGTTCCCCTGCCTAAAAAATCCACAGTCAGCGGTCTAAAGGATTATAGACCAGTTGCGCTCACTCCGGTTGTGATGAAGTGTTTTGAGAAATTGGTACGTAGTCACATCGTCTCATGTCTAATTCTGTAAGCATGTATGACCTTCATCTCTTGGGGTTTTAGTGGTTTTATTTACTTTCTCCCATAGTTTATAGATTCCTCTCCCTTGATTTCTTGTAGTTTATTCAGAAAATGCAATAAAAAATTCAACCCTTTTGGGGCTCTTAAAAAAAGAAAAGAAAAGAAAGGGGGGTCCATACAAGCCTTAATAATGTACCATGTTTCCTGTGAAAATCCATCCCCATGGGCAAGATCCTACTACAGTGATGGCAAACCTTTCAGAGACCGAGTGCCCAAACTGCGACCCAAAACCCACTTATTGATCACAAAGTGCCCACACGGCAATTGAACCTGAATACTGAGGTTTTACTTTAGAAAAAACAACTCATACATTAATTTAAAATGATCCACACAAAGTAAGGAAAGCAATCCCAAACGCTTTCATTTCCTTAAAATTATTTGGCAGAGAATTCAACCCTTTAATGATGGTCTGGGCCTGGCTGGGGCGATGGCACGCGTGCCCACAGAGAGGGCTCTGAGTGCCACCTCTGGCACCCGTGCCGTAGGTTCGCCATCATGTCTACTGGGAAGTAAAACCCATTCTGCTTCTCCTGCTTGTGTCTACAGCTTCCTTTTGTTTCCTTTGTTTGCAGGCTAATGCATCCTGTGTGTCCTGTCTCTCAAGACCAGCTCATTGCTCTCTCCCAGGAATCATGAACTGATGCTTCATCATCAACTCCTTCTCTGGAGGAAACATGGGGCACAAGTACGTTTTGAGTGGGATTATGAGTATTTATAAGTTATGGGGAAGTTGGATGGGATCTATAAACGGGTAAGATAGGGGCATAGGAAAAAAGGAGGGACTAGAAGAGTGAAAAAAAATGGATGTTGTAATAGTAACCTCAGGTGGATTTTTTTTTCCGTTTCACGATTGTTAAAAATGGAAAATGAGGATATCGATAAGATGAATAATGAATTTATGTTTGTGTTTTGACTGATATACTTAATAAAAAATGTAAATTCAAAAAAAAAGTTTGGCTTATTTCTTTGCAGCCAACCAAAGTCAATGCTCTCTCTATGTAAAACAACCATTAGGATGTCCACAGTGTAATAGTCAGAGTGGGTAGCCAGGTTAGGCTGAAGAAACAGAATAAATGTTGAGTCCAGTGGCACCTTTGTGACCAACAAAGTTCGATTCTGGCTAATTAGAGTCCAGATGCATATGTAACTGAGTGAAAAGTATAGCTAAGATTGGATTAATACAGTTGGTAAGACCTGTGAATAGCAGCAAATTAGCATACAGTTAATAAAAGATCGTAGATTCAGGTGGGTAGCCATGTTGGTCTGAACCAACAGGACAAAGTTTTAGCCCAATGACATCTTTAAGACCAACAATGTTTAATTCTGGGTGTGCACGCAAAAACTTATGCCCAAAATTAAACTTTGTTGGTCTTAAAGATAATAAAAGACTCAAACTTAGTTCTCACATCTGTTTAATTCTTTTATTATCGGTCTGCTAATTTGCTGGTCTGGCAGATGGCATACAGAGGGCAGAATGAGGCCCACTTTCCATATGCACCACAGCCGTAATCTGAATCAGGCACTGTGCACGTGGGAATGGGGAAGCATTTGCAAGTTGTGCGTGACTCTCTGGACACGGGATGTCAGGTCCAGGCTCTAAGGAGTGGTTCCCATTTTATCTACTCGCCGAAGCTTTCAAATCGCTGGGTGGACGATGAGCTGGGGACAACAGGCTGGCTGCTCACACCAGCGCGGGGCTCGAACTAACACAGTTCAGATGTTAAGACATGTCTTTGGATGACCCCCCCCCTTCTGACCTGGCCACAGCCCGGTGAGGGAGAGCAGAGCCTTCCACCATGTCTGGCTTCTTGGCGATCTTCACCGTGTGACTCAAATACAAATTTTTTGGGGGGGAGGGTGAGAACTGTTACCATGTGTGTTTGCAATTGCATTTTTGTCTGTACTGTGCTTATGCTATGTTGGTCAAATGTCTGTGTATCTGTGCATTTGGGATTCAGAGATCACTGCTGTGTGTATTTGATGCTGTGCGTTTGAATGGCTGGCCTCATGCTGCCTATGGATGGGCATGGCTTGAGCTGCCAGCCACAAGACACATGCCTCCCTGGAATCTCCCAGAGTGCCTCTGGACAAAGGAGACCAGCGCCATTATGCACAATGAGAGACTTGGAGAAACAACAGGCTTTTCCACCATTGACGAACTGTGGGAAAGCACGCATTTCTCCCTGGTATCTGGTTTTGGAATCACAAAGACAACTTCCTTAATTGCCTGTGGACCTGGCTCATCTTCTGCAAGTCAAAGGTTGCCAATGGAAACGACAGTTTCACACCTGGCCACATGGCCCCTTTTGAAGTTAGGGTAGCATCTGCATATTGCCCCCTTCCCCCTCATTAGGACGTCACCACTCTTTGACCTATAGCCTTAGCAAAGAGGATGGACCCTAAGGGTTTTATGGCCGTAAAGCCAACCCAAAACATAGCTTTTAAAAGGAGGAACACAGCCTTTGTTTCTCTGGTACCCCTCCCCTCCCCTACCTTGCAACGTAAGTGCTGCAGGTGAGTCTTACTGCGTTCCCGGGAGTCGCGACCCAGGAACCCACACGTGGCTTGGCCGGTCCAGCTCGTGTGTTCTTAGAATTCACCCGCTGATCCTTAAGCTGCCCCTTTTCGCTACGAGGAGATTTCTCCCCAGCTTGGACCTCAGATAAGTATAAGCGATATCCCGTGGTGTGTTATCCCCCCTTGTCTGTGCTTTTATTATTTTCCTTGCTGATTGCTTTCTATGAACTATTGTAACTAAGGATCTTGAGAGAATCTGTGTATGCATCTGTTTTGGTATGCTTGAAGAACTGCTTAGTAAAAGGCAACATTTATTCATAAACCTAGCGTGTTGTCTCAAATTCCTGGGAATTAGGAGCGTTCCGTTGGGCCAATCTGACCTCTGTATACATTGGCAAGAACTCACGCCATGCCCACTGTCGTAGATAATTCAGAATTGGGCATTCGGAACCATCCTTAGAGGAGTTCCGGTCACAGAACAGAGGGCATAAACCGAGCCACTGCCCTGGACGTGGAGCCACTCCCACGGGACGACTGTGAAATTGCTCCTCAACTGTTCCAGAACCCCCCTTTGCCCCACAGCCATTCAAGCAATTCTTGCTGACAGGAAGCACATTTGTCCAGTTGCCAAGAAAGGGGGGGGAGCACACCTGATGCTTTCGACCTTGGCGCCTTTCCCTGCAGAGCTCACCCCAGAACTTCGGGGTTGTTTAAAAAAAAAAGAGTCACGTGGATGAGAATCCATTCTTGGAAGAATAAACATCATTGGGGGAAAGTGACATTTGGAGTGGGAAAGAGGTAGCATTTTGGAAAACTGCAAAGGCTCACAGGCTGTGAAGAGGACAGGGTGACTGGCCACAGGAGACTCTTGCGCTCAATAATCTGTTTCTTTTAGGAAGACGCTGCGTATCACTCAAGAGGATGATTCAAGCGCCAGAAACCCCCTTTCGAAACCACCAGGTGTCATTTCGTAGAAAAAGAGGTGCAGGAGCTCATAAGCAAAACTCATTAGCACAACTTGTTTGCATGTGCCACTCCCCCTGACATCACCAGAAGTGTTTCAGAAGGCAACACCCACCGCTCAGGCAGGCTCCACTGGACTGTTCTGGATTGCTATCTATTGGAGGGGGACACATGCAGCTCTGTCCTCGCAGAGGAGGGAGAGCTTGTACCTGAATAAAACTTGGTCTTAAAAGTGCCACTGGACTGTTTTGGATTGCTAGCTATGGGGGGGGGCACACACACAGATCTGCTTTCACAGGGGAGGGAGAGCTTGTAACTGAAGGTGGGATGGGAGGGCTCTGCAAGTTACCTGGTTGTTTCTTGCTCCTCGTGGCCCGACTGAGGGCTGCTGGGAGCAGGGGGCGGGGCTTGTTGCATGTGCCCACCCCCTAGGCTCCTTACTGCCGGAGCTCCGCTCTTGTGCACTCCCGCAGGAAATGACCCCTGGAAACCACTAACAGGAACCAGATCTACTGCCCAGTCCTCAAGCACCAAATTGAAACTGCTGAGGAGACACCAGTGTTACACCAGCATATCTGTGCAATAGGATATATACTAGCAGTAAAGCCCGTTGTGAAAGCAATACAACGGGATCTAGAAAGAGGCTCTGGGGCAATGCTAAATAAAGAAATTATATATATAGTAGCAGTAAAGCCCGTTGTGAAAGCAATACAACGGGATCTAGAAAGAGGCTCTGGGGCAGTGCTCTGGCTTTGGGCAAACAGTGTCAATTTGCTGTGGTGACCTCAGCAGGGTATAATGACAGAGTCCACTGTTTTCTCCAGAGGAACTGATCTCTGCTACCTGAAGAGCAGTTGTAATTGTGAGTGATCTGTAGCCCTCACCTGGAGATTGGCAGCAATTGTTACCCAGGACAAAATGGCTGGTTTGGAGGGGGGGGTCTATGGCATTCTACCTGTCTGAGGTCCCACCCCTCTGCAAACCCCACCCTCTCCAGGCTCCACCCCTCAAATCCCCAGGAATTTGTCAGCATGTAGTTGGCAACCCCATCTCCTTCCCAGCTATCCATCAACCTACCATTATCTGCCCCTTTGACTTCAGCTGACTTCTGCCCTCCCTTCTGCAGAACAGTTGTAATACTGAGTGCTCTCCAGCCCTCACCTGGAGATTGGCAACAATGGTTCCCTATGTGGGACTGACTGGTTTGGAGGGTGGAGTCTATGGCAGTGTACCTGTCTGAGGTCCCGCCCCTCCTCAAACCTCACCCTCTTCAGGCTCCATCCCTCAAGTCTCCAGGAATTTCCCTTCTGGAGTTGGCAACCCTATCAGGATTGGCCCCAATGTGTTTTCTCCCAAAGGCCAAAGTAGGTGACAGGACCAAGCTTAGTTGCCTACCAACAGGCACTGAGGGGAATGTAGGGTTGCCAGCTCTAAGGAGGGAAATACCTGGAGGTTTTGGGGGTGGATTCTGTAGAGGGCCGAGCAACGGAGGCATCGGCCTTCTGTAGCCCGCCTTGCCCCCCCAATCTCGGCCCGGGCGACTGCGGCTCCCACCAGCGGCCGCCCGACTCCAGAC